CGGAAAAATTACCAAAAGCTTCAGAGAGCTTCCGAAGTGCGAGATTCGATTCGATAACGGGATCACCAATGAGATCTAGGCTTCCACCACGTTCTTGCTTTTCCGTGGGTCCAGTAGCATGTTCGCCATCTGTCGATGCACGTCTGCCGGTTTCTGCCATTTCCAAATTTTTACTGCAACAAATTTTATCAGTAAAAAGTTCATTGATTCTCGTAAATATTTATGTATGAAAAGCTGAGCTAAAACAGCGAATGCAAATGCGCAATTGTTAAGTTCGCATTAGAATCCAAAAAAAATACTGGGAAACAATGTCTTCTGTTGTTAGCAAGTTTATGAATACACTTTAATTAAGACCGCGGATTTGGGAACGCGAGGGGGAGGAGGGTGGGGAAGGGGGGAAGGGGGAGGCTAAAAAAACTCCTTCAATTATCCAGTTCTGCATGTACAAAAGCTCTGTGTATAAAGTCGATCATGTCAGTCATTACCGTAATCTAAACATTATGTATGATCTACTGCGGCTACCACAGTAACCCGTTCCAATAGCTCAAAGATGTCCGAAATGCGGCCCTTTATTCACTACCGTAATCTACGAGTTATGCGTCCATTTTTCACTACGACTACTACAGTAATCTTAGGAACAGACACCACTACGGTGGCGTAAAAAGTCCAGAAAATAGCAAATTATTGATTTTGATAGTAAGACTTGTCCAAGTCGCAATAATCTTTGAATCTTTTTAGGTGGCGAATTATCAGTTTATGATCATGACAAGTCCTAGGCTTTTGACATGACGGGGATGTCAGCTGCAGCGCCAGTTTTCTCACATGTTTGATGTTTGGCTTTCAAAAATTGTTATTGATCCTAAAATTTGTACTTGAGTGACGGTGATGAGTGAGGTGACCTAAGCTTAACACAAAAAACTAACTTTGAGTTTCGAGGCCGAGGACCATGGTGCCAAAATGGGACCGAGAGCCGCATGGCGCTGGTACAGGTGTAATCCGCAAGAAAGCCCGATGCCCGAGCACTAGGGGACCCGGTAGACGGAGTGCAAGCACTTCCATTCAGGCCTCTCATGCATACTAACAAATGTGCATACAAGTGCTCGGAACAGACAAAGTCTAAGTATTCACGTCCATTATCATATCCATTTGTGATTTCCTAATGCTGGAGCTTTTTTTCGGCGCTTAAAGCGGTGTGAAATTCGAATAAAACTATGTTCGAGAGAAGAGAAGCTTTTGAGATTGGAAATTGAAGTATTAAGGATAGTTGTACATAAAATGCATAGCAAAGATTTTGAGACTGGATTATTTGTGGATCCTGGTTTTGTTCAGCCTAATACCATATTTTTTATTTTTGCAAAATTCCTTCATTAATTCAACACCAAATTCTTACAACAGTTCTAAAATTGCCAGATTAGGCCAATAGATCATCTACACAATTAGAGATATTTACTTATTTAGCGCAATGTATTGCTTGAGAACTGCTTTGTTAATAATTTTTGGAAAACAGCAATAGGCAAGGCAAAACAAAAGCGTTGCTTTTATGTGGAAACGCATTTGAGGTAGGAGCGAGTTGAACTAAATGCTATTCTACTGCCAAAAATGTGAAAAGCTGCAAGTCGTCCTAATCATATTTGATTTTCTTCCGAAGTGCTTTTTCAAACCTTTTTTGTGAACTCTTTGTATGGGCACAATTCTTTCAGGATCTTTGAGCCTGCAAGCGCAAGGTGTCAACGAAATTTTTCGAACAAATCAAATTTAGCGGAGCACATCCTGCGAAAGTAAGCACTGTTCGAATAAGAATGCAGTCAAATGAAGAGCTGATTGGGAGCTGAGGGGGGGGGGATGAACTATATTAAAGGAAGTGGAGGAACTTGTGAACATGATGATGGTATTCGAACACGCTTATAAAGTGCGCAAAATAATTAAAAGAATTCCTTTTGAGACCAACATCCAGAAGTTTGTAGGTGGTCAGTAGATTAGACTGTTTGTATAATATCCTTACGGTCGAGACAGCACGATGGTCGAAGGAAGCTAAGTTAAAATGTGCTCTATAGCCGTTTTTTGCGCGCAGACTGTCGTCGTCACAGACATGGAAATCTGACGCGCAATTGCTGTCAGCACTGCAGTTACACAGATGGATGGCAAGTTGAGCAACGATGCATCATAAGGGAATAGAGAAATTCCGTCCTCCAATTCCTAAGAAAAGGACAAGCCAAATTTCTTCCATTTTGATAAAAGTCGGATTACGAAAGAAAAATTACATTGTAGCAGAACAGTCATTCATCTTTCTCAAAAAGAAAATCTTTCTCAAGGGAATTTTCCAGTAATCAGCAAGATGGTGCTAAGATGCCAATGCACTTTAGCCAAGAACTCGCAGTATCGCCTACACATCTTCAAAAATGCTTAAAATTCGTATAGTTGAAAGCTCGAAAATTGGAAAATATCAGTCAGTATTGCACTAATGCAATATTTATCAGGTTGTCTCATAAATTCACCATAAAACACATCAAGTGCGACATCCCACACAACCCCGCAGCCGCTTGGACATTTTTGAGTGAAAGGTAGACAAGTTAAATATTCCACATTTATACCATTTCACGACAAAAACGCTCTGACATTCAGAAGATTATAAAATGATGCTCTTTTGATAGCTCCGTGTTTTTTAGAATCCAAATATGAAGATTATAGGAGCCTTTTCTTTGTTAGGGAAAGGTTGCCATTAGAAAAGAAAAAAAAACGATTTGAAAGCAAAAGATATTACTGATCGTCATAAGCTCATGACATCATTCCTAGATGAATTCTTTTTTTACTATCTGAAGCCTCCTGGTTCTTGCCAAGTGTTTTTGACTTATTTTGCATTCTTAAATTTGTATATCTATGAAATTTAGGCTGGAAAATATAGAACGTAGAAAATGTGAAAAGATGCAAGAAAAATATAAATGTGAAAAGACTTATTTTGAGCTCATGCCGTAGAATCCCACAGTTTCTTTTTTGAACAAAAAAATGTAAATACATAAATTTGTATTTTGAACTCGGCTAGTGATCCCACTCTGAACAATTTCTTACTTTTGAAAATTGAGATTTTATTGATTGGCAGTAAAATCACAACTAGAAATTTCCATCTTCATTCTAAAAATAAATGAGCCTGCTTTCAAATTTAGCCGGAGCGATAACATGTCGGATTACGCAGAGATCAAGTTTCAAGAACGGACGCACCTGCTGCAGACGAAAGTTTTCAAAATCCTCAGTAAATGGTCCATATCAAATCATCTTCTTATTCCAGGCTAGCGTAAGGAGAAGGAAGCAACAGTCGAGAAAAAAATTGTTAATGAGTTTCTATCTCGCACTCGACATGGACTTGTCATTCTTTTCAGGCGCCATCAAACATCGCCAACAGGTGAAATCGTAGTCTGTACCTTGCCTGCACTTCTTGTTCTTATGATTGACACTGAGAATGCATGTTCGAGATTCGGCCAAAGGTTACGACAAAACTTTTAAAATTCAGCGCCGATGTGCA